TCACCTGCTGTGTACGCCCCACAGCCCAGCAAAGCACGCTCAGCCCTTAACAACCCAGTGCGGGTGTGCCCGGTGGGCTCGCTGCCCCCTTGGAACACCTCCTGGGCCTTTCTGTTTGCTGCATGCAGGCGTGTGTGACTGGCCACAGGGTCATTTCAGAAAGCTGTTTAAGAAGCCCTGCAAGGTGCCTGTTTTACAGTCAGGTGCCGGGGTGTCTGTGCGGGGGACATGTGAGCAGACACCCAGGGTTACATCTGCCCCAAGAATTTAAGCCCAGAGTACCCCCACCCCAAAATCTGCCCCGTGGAAATGTACCCAGCTTGATTTTGTGGTGGGGATGGGGGTGGGCACCGGGGCTGTAGATGTTGCATCCTGGCTGCTGAGTCAGCCTAGAGAGGAGCGCAATGTAGTGTCACGTGTGGTGACGATGACAAAGCCCTGTCCCCTGTGAGGTCACCTAGACCTCCCAATACCTTAGACTCCTCTACCCAACCACTGCCAGGCCCAGGGACCAGGAGGCAGGGAGAGTCAGGACAGATAACACAGAGCCAGCTTGTGGTGGCAGACCCTCTGTGTGGGCCTCCACCTCTGCCAGCAGCTGCCTCGGTCCTGTCCCTTCTGAGTCAGCCAACAGGCAGCCCCCTCTGAGTGTCACCACTTGATACCATCACCTTCTGATTGGCGACGGGCAGCCCTGACCAGAGTGAGAAGACCCAGGTTGTGGGACACACCCTGGTGTCCACTGCTCTGTTGCTGACCCTTCCCTCTCATGCTGACCTCAGGACCTCTTTGTTGCCATAACATTTGTGTCCAACTAGAACTCTTAACTTGTCTACCAGTATTTTACCAGATTTAGGCATTCAGAATTTTAAAATCTTACTCATTTTAATGAATCTTTACATGAAAACAAGTAATATTAGATGAAAATGCAGTCAAAACAAGACAAAAGCCAATTAGTGAGGCCTTCACACAGACTTCTCTCTGAAGGCTGTCTGCCTGGGCTGTAGAAAATCCTCCCTCTGGGCTGCCTCTCTGCTTGGGCCGAGGCATCTCTCACTCATGGAGACCTGGCCGGCCCCACAGGCCTTCCCAAAGGGCTCTGGACCCCATGCACTACTTGGAGATCCTCTGTTCTTGATGGCCCTGCGAAACTCCCTTATTCCTGAGAAACGAGTTTAAAAATGCAGTCACTGGCAACACTGACAGCTTTTAGGAATAAAGATGGGCTGTCTAAGCTCCATCCATCCGTTCCCTGAGGGGCCTGCTTTGGGGGAATGTGGGAGAGTCAGTCCCCAGGTGCAAGTGCGGCTGGTAATGGACGTGCAGCTTTTCCTCGGTGATGCTGCCACTTGATCCCACCTGATGAGGCCAGGGTGCACTTGATGTGGGGCAGCTTTCCATCTCCCCAGTGGGAGTAAGGGGGCAGTGTGGTACAATAGGGGGAGGGCATTGCAATGGGGGAGGGGCAGCTTTGGCAGCGTAGGGGCTCTCACACTGGAGCCTTGGGAGAAGTCGCCCAAAAGGGTCAGGAAGGCTATGGTGCTTTCACTCTGAGTGACCTCCAGGACCCCTCCCCCTAGTCTGGGCTTATAGTGCACCCCGTCAACCCAGGCAGGCGTCCTGACGGGCAATCTGAGTGACTCAGTCCTGGGGAGCAAACAGCCTCCACTGTGCAGCGCCACAGGGCACACGCCTGCCACATACAGCTCCCAAGGTGTGTGTGTTTGGAGAAAACGCCACCAAACGCTTCCTTTAGTAGCTCGGTTTCTAGATGTTTCTTTGTTTACCTCTTGGAGACAGTTGGACTAGCCTGGCGAAATGTAACTTGGCACTTTGCTGTGGGCTTCTGAAGGATTTCAGTGTAAATGGAAGCTCTGAGTCTGTGTCCGCTGTTCCCCCAGGTCCCCAGTGTGCAGACCTGAGGGGGACAGGTGCTGGGCTCATTCCCTGCCCGTTAGGATGACTCACCAAAAGCTCTCGTGACGCTGCAAACAAATGGCCCCTTGCTGGTAGAGAAGATCCATAACAGACTAGTAGATTTAAAGCAAGTCACCACTGCTGCGGGGCGGGACCAGACTGAGACCCCACACACCCCAGGGGGTTCAGTGGCCTGTTGGTTCAATCGCCAAGCCCTCGTGGTGTGGTTCGTAGCTGAGTACACCACTGTGTGCCATTCCGTGAGTCCAGAAGTAAATTTAAATGTTAGTTTCTCAGAACTAACAAAAATTCGGAAGCCAAAATAATGAGGCTTTGTTGCAACATGCTGTGTACGCTCCAGCTGGTGGGGGCTATAATTGTTTTCAGTTAGACACTGTACCATAGAATTTTTCTGAGGTTACGAACTTACTGTTTCCATCCAACCTGGTGGTACTGTGGGGTAAGCATTGGGCTGGAAACCAAGCAGTCTGAGGTTCAGACTCACCGTCCACTCTGCAGATGAAAGATGAGGCCATCTCCTCTCATAAAGAAGACAGGCTGGGCCATTCTACTCTGTCCTGTAGGGTCACTGTGAGTGGTGGCATCTATGGGTGGGGCTGCTGCTGTGGAATGAAAACCAGGCAGTGCAGCAATTTACCAGCAGGTGGGGCACAGAGATGGCTTGCTGACTGGAGGTAGGAAGCCCTGTGTTGAGACACATCATGGTGGCTGTGGATCATTCAAGAGCTGGCACGTATGTGGAACTAAAGATCATTGAACTTCTCCATTGATTTTGGAAACCCTCGTGTATTTTAAAGTTTCTTCAAGACTAGTGAAAACCACTGGGTCCTGGCTACCATTGGTGGTTCTTCGCTGTGCACTCCTGCCTGGGTTAGGGGGAGACTTAAGCCATGTGTAGCTGGGTGGAATAGGGTGCTTTGGGTTTTTAATTTGATAACACAAAACAGATGTTTGGGGTTTATTTTTAAGACATTCCACTTAGGAAGCTTAGCATTTTGCTTATTGGGGAGTCTGTTGGGGGGAATGGAGAGGCCCCTGAAGAAGGGTTTGGGCAAGGAACTGTTTGCAGTCCCTGGGCTGGAGGGGCACCCAGCCAGGGCCGCCAGCCTCACTGCACGCTGCCTCTGACTGTTGCTTGGGGCACTTCTAGACTGGGAGGTCACCCAGCACCCTCCTCCTCCCTTCACTCACCCGCCAGCTACATTCCCCCCACCTCACCCCCAATTCATTCCCCTCACCAGTAACCAGGGCAAGATGTGTGCGGTGTGGACGCATAGGTGACGACCCTGGGTGTGTGGCAGCTGTGCAGCTAGAGTGAACACTGCGGACTAAGGACAGCTAGGGGTGGCATTTGTTATTCAGGACAAAATCCAGGCCTTCCAGCAAAGTGAGAGCTTTGGACAACTTGTCTGCCATGGTGAGCCTGCCAGCTCCTGATGGGGGAGGTGGCTCCTGATGAAGTCTGCCAGCCAGTGTCCCTGTGCCAGCCTCACCCCAACTGGGCATGGCCATAAGTAGGCCACAGGGGTCTGAGTCCCAAACCTCTTGGTTTTATTGAGATAGTTTGCTCTATAGCAAATACGTACTTTTTCCACGTTCTGCTCGTACAATCATTGTTGCTACTGAAGTGGCTTTAGCTGTGGTTCCAATGGCCACGCAGTACCTGGACGGCCCAGGGCTGTGAGCGTGACTATTACAGGTGCTGAGCCACTGAGGGTCCACAGCACTCCGCCTGCCCATTGTCCGGGGGAGCTGGCCCACTGGCAGTGGGGAGAGTTGTGTTAAGAACTTCACCACCACCACCACCACCACCACCCTTTTTTCTTCAACTTTCACCCTGATCCATATGTTGTTATTCCCCATGCTGACCAGAATTGCGAGTTAGCATTTGTGTTGAAGAAATTGAAAGTCACCCTGTACCATTTGCATGAGAAGTCAGGACAGGAAGTGATCTCAGGGCGTTCAGTGTCTCCCATGCTGTTGAGTGTTCCTGTGTCAGACTCGGGGCTTCTCAATGGGGGGGGGGGTATCTGCCTTCTCGTGCTCGCTGTTGTGCGCACAACCACTCTCACTGCCATCGAGCAGACTCACAGTGCCCGTGGTCTTCAAGGCTGTGATTCTCAACAGGCGTCGAACGCTCTGCCATTCTCCCTCAGTGGCTGGTAGTTTTGAACTGCTAGCTTGGGACTTTGCAGCCCAACCCATAACCACGAGCCACCAGGGCTCCTTGTGTACCCAGAGGTCCAGCTTATTTCCAGCTCTTTTGAACCAGCCACAAAGTGCCTGCCCTCGCTCAGCGGTCATTCCAGGGCTTAGGGTGCTGCCACAGGGCAGCGGACTCTGGGGAGTGAGAAGACATTGTCTCTTTAAAAGGAACCTTGAGTGCCCCCTCCTCCCTCAGAGTTTCTGCCCATTGTTCCTAGTTGTCTCCAGGGAGACCACAGTTAGAGGGAGTCAGTTGAATGCAGGTGGCCAGAGGGAGAGGTAACACTAACATGTGGGTCTCTGGGAGGAACAGTGCCTGTCAGGGTGCCGTTTGAAAGAGGCCATAGAGGGGTTGGTGAGTTTAAAGCCACACAGATGGAAAGGAAACATGTTTATCTTAATTAAAATTTCAATGAAAGCCATACCAAATAATAATAATAATTTAAAAATAAACATACCGTTCTGTAATGATGAATAGGGAAAAAAAGCGCTGTACCCGTGTGTGTGTGTGTGTGTGTGTGTGTGTGTGTGTGTGTGTGTGTTTGCCCAGACTGTTGAGGAGAGGGTGCCCTTCTCATCAGTGTTGGGGGATGGGTCTGGCTGAGCTGTCTCTTGAGGGTGGGGTGCCGATTGGCAAGAAGCTGGTTTCTGGGCCTCACCTTGGCCTGCTCTCTGGTCTCAGCTGGGTCCTCTCGTCCCTGGACTCAAGGGTGGCAGCCAACTGTGTGGCATGAAGCTCACCACTCAGTGTGCTACCTGAGAGGTTTGGCGCGCCTTCTCTGGGCGGTGTGAGGTATACCTGTTACCGTAGTCATAATAACACTGAGTGCTATAACCCTTCTCTCCCTCTCTTTCAGGAGCTGACTCCATAGGAGTAGGCAATCGATAGTTTGAGTGGTGGAGACCACAAATACTTTAATTTTTAGACAGTCTTGTTTGGATACCTTTCGCTTGATGACCTGGACCAAGTGATTCCATCGTACCTGGGACGCCAGGAAGCGGCTCAGCTTCTGCGTCGGGTGGGGCCAGGTAAAGTAGCCGCATGCCCAACAGCAGCAGAAGTCGCTGTTTCTCCTTCTGAAGTGGCTGCTGTGGAAAGACTCTTATGTGACGGAGCCCGCCTGAGAGATTTGGGGAAGGTTTCATTTGTTAGGAATGTGGTTCGGGTGCCCCTTTGCATTGCTGCCTCACTGGGGCACATACTTACTGCCATCAAGTCCCTCTGACCCGCGGGTTTGCCAGACTGTGCCCTCGACAGAGATAGACAACCTCCTTGTTCTCCCAGGCTGCTACCTTGGGGTCAGCAGCCTGGCAGCCCTGTGTGTAACCACTGTCCATCCACCAGGGAGAAAGGCGAGGCCTCTGCTCCCACAGGCGTTAGTTCTGCCCCTAGCAGCAAGTTTGGTTTGGTTCTGCAAGGAGCCCTGGTGACACTGCCTAGACACTGGGCCGCCAGCCACTCAAGCCCAACTCCTCTGCGGGGCGGGGGGTGGGGAGGGGGGTGCCCCATGAGCCACTTGGTGGCAGTGGGTTTGGAGTCCCTGTACCTTGTATAGTCTCCTTCGTGAGAGCCAAGTTTGTAGGGAAATTGTTGACCTGCTGGAAGCCACCCACTGAGGTGGCGGATGAGCCTTGTCAGGAAGCCTGGCACAGGGACCCTGCATGGTTCAGAACTGCTGGTGTCACAGCCTTTCAACTTGAGTAGAAATCAACAATTACATGAAAGTTCCGCTCTCCCGGGGTGGGGACAGGTTTGTTGCGCCTTAGTTTGCCTCAGTGCAGACGTTCCAGATGCCGGAGGGACAGTGTGTTTGTGAGTAGGGGAGTCGTGTCCCCTTAGCTAAGCCACCTTAGGAGATTAGCTGGTATTCAAAGCAATGCTGTATAGCTGGCTCAGGGCCACCTATGGGAGCAGGAGGTACCTGCCCTCGGGCTCCATGGGTGCCTGCTCCCAGGCATACAAGTCTTGGCTTCAGGGACATGGACATAGGCCACCCTATTTGAGTTCAGCTGGGTCCTTTTACAGCATTTTAAGGAACAGAAAAACTCGGACCGGCTGCACGAGGTCATGATGGTGTTCACAGAGAACCAGCAACTTCAGTGGGATGGGTGGGCAAGGGGAGCCGTCAACGGCTGCCGGAAGGGCACCATGGTGGGATGCACACATCACGCTCGATGGAGAGCTTCACAGTGCCTTCCATGCCTTCCATCTAGCACAAACGGTTTCGTCCTGAGAGCACCCCGCTTTCCTTAATGGCAGCCCCAACCAGTGATCTCAAGGGCTGGGCTGCCTAGGGTGGGCGGTCAGGGGACTGATGGTGGTGAGCCCTCTGCTTGAGGTTTATTAAAAGGCCCGAGCTCAGTGGAGCCCCCGCTGGTATGGGGATTTTGCAGTGGAGTTAAGGTCTCCACTGTCAAGCTTGGCCTTCAGCAAATTAGTGGTCAGAAACAGAGGCTGACACAGTAGGTCCCGCCTGGTGAACAGACGTGGAGTGTTGTCAGGTGTCGTGGTGGTGGAGGACAGCAGAGGTCACTGTTGGCAGCAAATGAGAAGGCGGAAGCCGAAACACATAAAACCTCAGGTGGCAGACAAATTTGAATGTATGTATTTTATGTTTTTAAGGTTTTTGCGGTGTGCCAGACATTCCCTTAGGATGAACCATGGCATCAAGTTGGGGGCATCACTAGCTTCTGGATGCAACTGACACCTGGCTGCCTGGGAGACACCACAGGTATCGCCTGTCTTGTTGGGGTCCTCCAGACAGACACCGAGAGGCTGCATGGTCATCCCTCAGAGGCCAGAAATGCAAGCTCAGCATCTTCTAAGTGTCCAGTGAGCTGAGGCTTCACGACCACTAACCTAAAGCCCAGTGGCTTCAAATGCCGTGACTGGCTGAAGACCGCCCAGGGCAGGACTCAGTGGGGCATTCTCTCCTTGGTATCCACCAGGCCCTGCAGCAGCTGAGCTGATGTTGGGAGCCGAGGGCCGGTTCAGCTTACTCTCAGGGGCACTGGGGCCACAAGAACCTAGGATGGACATGACAGTCCTGAAGCCCTGGCCCAGTTCTGACCTTCAGCCCACGTGCCTGCTGTGCTGCCACCAGCCAGTGCCGGGAAATGGGGGTGGGCCTTTTCCACTTAGGCAGGTGTGCAGGTGTAGACTTGAGTTGCTAGCTGCATTTCTTTGTTGTGAACATTGAGTAGAACTACTGAATTTTTCTTCACAAAGCACGTCCAGGCACGTCATGCTGCACAGGCCACTTTGAGAAAGGCAGGTCGTAGCGGCTCACCCTAGTGGAGGGCTCTCAAGTCCAGGCAGTGGTCTTGGAGCTCAGTGGTATAGGGGTTGCTCACTCAGATGTGTAAGTGCCTTGTTGGTTTCTCATCAGGCATGGATGATAAAGGGGACCCGAGTGGGGACGAAGCACCCAAGGCCATCAAACCCACGAGTAAGGAGTTCAGGAAAACCTGGGGATTCCGGAGAACCACCATCGCCAAGCGCGAGGGTGTGGGTGACGTGGAGGCTGAGTCTCCAGAGCGGCCGCTACAGCCGGCACAGAGCCTGTCCCTGCGGCGCAGCGGACGGCAGCCCAAGCGCACGGAGCGGGTGGAGGAGTTCCTGACGACTGTCAGGCGCAGGGGCAGAAGGAGCGCGCCCGCCACCCTGGAAGACACCGGAGAGCCCACGTCCTGCCCGGTCACTGACGCTGAGACGGCCTCGGAAGGGAGCGTAGAGAGTGTCTCTGAGGCTAAGAGCGGCCTGAAGCCCGGGGCCACCGACGCCAAGGAAGGACCAGGCTCCCTCGGGAAGGAGGGGGACACCTCTGATAGTGACAGTGATGGGCTAACTCTGAAAGAGCTTCAGAATCGCCTGAGAAAGAAACGGGAGCAGGAACCCGCCGAGAGACCCCTGACCCGTCTGAAGAAGAGGCGGCACGAGGAGGACCCGGAGGAAGCGATGGGTGTGGAGGCAGCCCCTGCCTCCGGGAATGCCCAGCCTGGCCAGGGCCAGCCTGAGGCCGGCCAGGTGGCCAGGGACAGTCAGCCAGAAGGGAGAGTGGCTCAGGGACTCGGAGCGCATGAGCCCACAGAGTCGCTCAAGCACAAGCCCGAGTGTGAGGGGTACGACCCCAATGCCCTGTACTGCCTGTGCCGGCAGCCCCACAACAACAGGTGGGTCCTGGTCGGTGAGCTGCTGCAGAGAAGCTGCTGGGCCTTGCTCCGAGGCAGCTGGGAGGAGGTAGTTTGTTCAGTTAAGAGAGATGAGGAAGTTAGTACTCACTCACTGCCACTTTAAATACTAAGCCAAGGAGTGGGTCGGGTTTGCTGAGAGCTGCCCCACCTAGTGTGGTCACCACTGGCCACAGCACTCCTCATGGTGATACACTCCCTCCTTGAGCATTGAGCTGTGGCAGGACCAGGCATCTGGGGAGGCGACTTGAGGCCAGTGGTGTTGGGGAATCCCTGTCGATGGCAGCAATGTTGAGTTTCGAGGGGTTTCAGGGCAGCTTCAGCCCTACAGTGCCCCATCAGAATGCTCTGGTCCATGGATAACCTAGAATGAGCCTCAGGGAGAGCCTTGGGGGGGGTGGGGGGTGGGCAAGTGTTCTGCCTTTCAGCACTGAGGTGCTGCAGCCTGCTGGGTTAGGCTTGTCTTCTGAGTGGCCCCCTGACCCTGCTGCCTTCCCTTCTGACTGCAGGTTCATGATCTGCTGTGACCGCTGCGAAGAGTGGTTTCACGGTGACTGTGTGGGCATCTCTGAGGCACGAGGGAGGCTTCTGGAGAGGAACGGGGAGGATTACATCTGCCCCAACTGCACCCTTCTGCAAGGGCAGGATGAGGGAGATGCCCGGGACTCAGACCAGCAGGAAGCCACACAGCGGTTTGGCCGGGTAGATGGCACTGACTTCACCAGCATAGGGACAGTCGAGCAGAAGTCCAGTGAAGACCAAGGGATCAAGGGTCGCATTGAGAAAGCGGCAAACCCCAGTGGCAAGAAAAAGCTCAAGATATTCCAGCCTGTGAGTCATTGGTCCACAGAGGTAAACGCTCAGGGCTGGGCAGGTGGGGCTCCAACCTATAGGCCTAGGACACGGCTTAGGTCACGAGGGCTGGGCACTGGGGAGAGTGGGGCCACCGCTGTCGTGTCCCCTGCTGACAGCATCAGGGATAGCTTGCCTGCCTCCTGCACAGTTAGCTACTTGCTGGTCTCTGTGAAGTGACTGCTTTTTCAATAGTCCCCTCGGCTCGTGATGGTAGTTAACAAAGCTCCCTGTCTCACCCACGAGATACTGCTCTCCTGAGAAGCACTGATCACCTGGGGGAGTAGCTGCTGTGTGAACAGGCACAGGAGCACCACTCTGCCACCCATGTGCCCACCCTCCACCCAGGGCCCCAAACCCTGCCCGTCCCTTAGCGGCGCTGGGTGGACAGCGGCTCAGTGTTCAGCCCTTCAGGCTGTGGGTGAAGTGGTACCAGCACCCGACAGTGCCCCAGGTAGGACATGTCATGGCCCAGTACATCCTGTTTGTCTAGGTGGTAGGAACTAAGCCTGAACTTGATGTCCGGGGGCTTGGCTTCTGTGGAGAGGAGCGTTTGCCTCGCTTGCTTAGTCACAGAACTAAGCTGGGGCCAGGGTGGAGAGGGACGGGCCAGCAGGCGCTGAGGAGGCTCCTCCTGCCGCTGTGAGACTGTCCTAGTGACTCGCCGGGGCCCACGGCCCACTCTCGAGACCCTGGGGTGGCAGGTGCCCTCGGCGCTCTCTGCCAGGCTCTGTACCAAGCTGGGATTTCATGCTTTTCGTGGCTGTTCATTACGTGGCCCTCACAGTTTGGCAGCCCTTTGCAGAGCCGGTGAGAAGTGTCCTTGACTCCACGTGCCAGCCCCACGCCTGGTTCGGTCAGGCCCTTCTTGTGGGAGCCTTCCATGCAAGGCTGCTGTGCAGCTCCAGGACGCCTCTGGGCTTATCTCAGCCGTGCCCAACACTGGCCTGAGGGAGGCTTCCCCACGTGGCTGCGATATGTTTGGGGCCCTCCCTGTTGAGCCAACGTGTGAGCCCATTAAAATACAGGGCTCCCCACACCTTGGGATTAAAAGGAGGCCTCGTTCTCTGGACACTGGTGCGGCGCAGCGAGCCCCATTTCTCTTTCTGCAGGTCGCCGAGGCTCCTGGGGCCTCAAAGTGCATTGGCCCTGGGTGTCCCAATGTTGCCCAGCCTGACTCCGTGTACTGCAGCAACGACTGCATTCTGAAGCACGCTGCAGCCACCATGAAGTTCCTGAGCTCAGGAAAAGAGCAGAAGCCCAAAGTGAAGGAGAAGCCCAAGCTGAAACCTGAAAAGTTCGGCCTCCTGAAGTGCAGCGTCCAGGTAAGCTGACCCGTCTTCTTGGCAGGGTCAGCAGGGCACGGAGAGAAGTGCTTCCATGTGACTTATGCCCTGCGTCCAGGATGGAGGGACACCCCCCACCCATCCCCCAAGACGCATGTGGAGGCAGGTGGTAGATGCCGTCTCCTCTTCGGCCTGGGAGTAGGAGCAGCTGTGGGCCTTGCTGTCCTGGCTCCCCTAGGTGAGGGCTGGGACTGCTCCAGGCACACAGCTCACTCTCCAGGAAGCACCAGGGACCCTTGTAGTTAGCAGAGGTGGTATCCTCGGGCATGGTAGGTGGGGTCTGGTAAGCATTGGCTTCCCTTCCAGACTTGCTCCGACCTATGGCCCCTCCCACACCCTGCCTCCCTGGGGACAACAGACTGGCCTGCTGCTGAGTGGGCATAGCCTGCCTCCTGGTGTCCACCAGGCCTCCTTCATTAGTTTAAATGCTTAGGGTGCCGTGTGGCATGGCGACCAAGTGCTGGGGGGTCAAGGCCACATGGTGCATCCTTGTTGCTTGGCATCGCTGTGGACCAACGGGACACTGCTGCAGGACCATGGTCCACACAAGCCACAGGCTCCTGCCTATCTTCGATCCTTTTCCACACCCACTTGGCTACTCTGACCTGGTGGAGCACTGGGCAGCAAGAACGGACTATTAGACCTGGGTGGGTGGGGTACGGAAGCTCTACTTGGGGTGCCCACGGGGAGAGGGGAGATTGGGTGCTGGCCCTGCAGTGAAGGGGGCCTTCCTGCGCCTCAGTGATGGCGCTTTCACTGGCTATTCAGGCAGGCGTTCGAGTTTCTCCTGCTCCCAAGAGACCTGCTCCAGACAAAAAGGAGGGCGTTGCAAAGAAGATGGCCGTGGCGCCTGTGAGGAGCGACACGCTGGCTATGGAGGCCACCCCTGAGAGCAGCACACCGTCCTGGGCCAGCGACCACAATTACAATGCTGTAAAACCAGAAAAGACTGCTGCTAGTTCGGCATCCCTGTTGTGTAAATGTATGTATCTCCTGGGGGTAGCCTCGGGCCTTCCCGTCCTGGGAGAGCCCACCCCAGGGCTGCCCAGGCTGGGAATGCAGCCCATACTGTCCAGTTTAAGTGCTCACTACACCTCCAAAAATTGGAGCTAGCCCTCACTGAGCATCTGAGGCTGTGGACTTCATCCCATTTTCCCTAGGGCTGAGCTAGCTGAGCCAGCCTCACTGCTGGGTTTTCACCAGGGTGGCGAGGGTAGCTTCCATTGGTAGCTTCCTCTGTCTGTCTGTCTGTCTGTCTGTCTGTCTGTCTATCTGTCTGTCTATCTTATCTGTCTCTTACAAATACACACATACACATGCTCTCTCTTGTTAGCTCTCTTGTCAGGCTTGGTAAGTATGTGTGCCGACAGGAGCCACACTGTCCACCCAGCAGCAGCCGAGCAGCACATCCGCAGGTACTGGCTTGCAGGGCTGCACCTGGTGCTGGTCCCCCTTGTGAGTGGTGGACAGGCAGATGTTCTTTTCATGTCCCGCTCACACACTACACACCTACACAGACACACACCTGAGGTTCTGCTGCTTCCTGTGCACCATGGGGGATGAGTGGTGTGCTTTCTGTCCTGCAGGTAAGTCTTCAGGGGCTGGGCCCTCAGGTGGGGCTGTCCGCTGGCCCTCTTTTGCATGTTAGCACTGTTGCAAGTTCTGTACCCCATCCCCACCCCACCCCCATTACATTAAATGAAGCCACCTCAGACCATGTAGCCCCGTGCCGTTCTGCACTAAGCACTCAAGCTGCTAGTGCTGCTCAGCCTGGGTCCCTAAGGCTCTTGGTGTGGACACGTATTTCAGGCCTATTGCTGTGGGCACTGTCCATCGTGTACCTGTGGCATCGTGTCCCCTGGATCCATCCTCCAGTCAGCCCTTTGACCCATCATGGGGGTAGGGGCTGCTCGTGAAGGTAGCTTTAGAAGTAGCTGTAAACCACCATCTAGGTGCCAGTGTCAGCTGGCTACCTGCTGAGGTGGGCCTCTGAGCTGCAGGTTGGGGGCTGTTGGAGCCCCACAGGGAGCCTCAGCACACACCCAGGGGTCTGCACAGCATCTCATGCTCACACACACCTATGGGGTCCCACCCAGTCCCCACCTCTACAAAGGGAGCTGCCCTTTTCAACAGTAATGAGCATGCCTTAGAACCTGGCGGGCTGGGGGCCACATCTGACTGCTGTGCTAGAGGAGGGCATAAAGTTGGCTGTAGGCACGTACAGAAGATAGGACGCCTGGACCATACCACAGGAGTGGCAGCTCCCTGGGCACTGTCCTGAGACTCCAGGCACGGCTCTGTAGGAGGCATTGATGGGAGCACAGGACAGCCCTGGCCCGGCCCACAAAGCCCACTCCCTGCCTTACAGGGGCTGGAGCAGGACTTTGAGAGGGGGCCTGATTCCCTCCCCAAGGCTCTCCTTTGACCATTCCAACACTTCCCGCACCCTGCTCCTCAGTGGAGGCGCACAGAGGAGCTGGGGACAGATGGGTGGCTGATCAGGCTGCCCGGCATGGTCATGCACAGGCTGAGAGTAAGCGCTCCGCCCACACCTGAGGCAGTGCACCTGAGCTCTGCTTCTCGTCGGTTATTGTCCCAGAGCTGCCAGCTTCTCAAAGGACGGGGAGGAGAGTAGGGCCATTGGTGAGGGAGCTCAATGGACGCTGGTGAGTAGCTGAGTAGCAGCTCTGGGTCCCTCCCTAAGCCACCTGTCCACCTAGCAGAGATGGGGCCATCCTGTGCCCTCCCTAACCCACCTGTCCACCCAGCAGAGATGGGGCCATCCTGTGCCCTCCCTAAGCCACCTGTCCACCCAGCAGAGATGGGGCCATCCTGTGCCCTCCCTAACCCACCTGTCCACCCAGCAGGGTTGGGGCCAGCTGGGCAGCAAGGGGGGGTGGGGACTGCACACAGCCCTGTGGCCCCAGGAGGAAGCAGTGCCTTGAGGGGTGCGCCACCCGGACCCGCTCTTTGATGAACTGCGCTCCCTGCAGCTCTGTACTCTGAAAACACCCACAGTGAGAGCGCGCAGTGGCCACAGTCTGCATCTGCCCTGGATCCCCATGAGACTGCAGGAGGGCTCCTGGGAGTGTTGGGGACACTGTTCGGGCACATGCCCCACTCTGCCTCAAATAAGGATGGCTGTCCTGTTCCTGGCACACGTATAGAAGGAAGCCCTGTGCCTCCAGCGGACCGTGTGAAGGCATCTTGTCTCCCGCTCCTCGTCCCCCCCCCCCCCACTTGTGAAGGCTTGTTTCTGGAGCAGCCACGCGCTTTGGGATTTTGACATGGGATGCGGGTGCCCCTGTGACCTTCCCTTGGACAGAGAGGGTTCCCCCGTCCATGTCCCCTCGTGTTGGGGACTAAAGTGGGAAAGCCGGACTGCTTGAGGGGGCTCCAGGAGAGGACAGTCATTCAGTCACAAACACCCCCAACTGAAAATCCTGCTGGAGGGGGTGGGATGTGCTCTGGGGTGCATGAGCACGGGGGAGCATTGGCAAATCAAGTCCAAGCTAGAGGGAAAGCCCCAACTGCCCTTCACCAGCTTCGCGTGATGAGCATGCAGTGGGCGCCTGAGGGTCTTCAGAGTGTTGCCTGTGTGCTCAAAGAACAACCTGATGCCTAGAGCACTGGGCCTACGAACAGGCCCCCGCTGCAGACAAGGTGCACACAGGCAGCCCTCTAGAGCGGGTGGCCTTGGACTTGGACTGCTTGACCCAGCTGACCACCTGTTCCTCATGGTGCTGCACGGCGCAGAGCCACTGCTGCCCGGGAACCAGGCCAGGTATCCATGCGTGTGGTGAGAGGGTGGACATGTGGCTTCTTTGTAACACAACAACATGCATACAGTTGTATCCTTGTGGAAATGGGGACAGACAGAGCTGGTGAGGGATGTTTGCCGCTTGTGTTGATTTAAAAGGCAGTTGGGTGGCTTTTCCTCGCCCCAAGCCTGGAAGAGTTCCATGAGAAGACCGGGAACCGGCTGCCTGTGCCTCCCGTCTGCAGTTCCAGGGGACCCCAAGCACTGCCATCTGGTTGGTTCCAGTTCCCAGCACTAGATCTTGATGGGAGCAACACTCACCTACAGCGCTACCAGAGCTTTTGGGGTGGGGGGGTGAGGGAGGCAACCCAGCTGTCTGAGCACGCTCTTCTCACTGGGCTAGAGAGTGAGCCGCTTAGGTGCAGAGGGTGTTGGTTGAAGTGGAGACTAATGGTCAAGCTGCTTAATTCCGGCCTGGGAGCGCACAGCAGCTCCTCACAAGCCTGGGGTCCACACCCGTCCTGGCGACTCCTGCTGTAGCCATGCTTAGTGAAAAGCCTGTTCACCTCAAGCGCAGTCTACCCTGCCCCCCATGAATCCAGTCAGAACTCAAAGCTGAGTGACACTACATACCTGTGCCCCAGAGGCATGCTGGGCTTGTAAGTTTGGGGTGTTGTGCTTCCCCCTCCCCACAGCATAAGTGTAAGCAACTGGGTTAGCATGCACTGAGGGCCCTGCCCAGTGTTACATGCTCCCCAAACGTGGCAGGGGACTCTAGTGCCACCTTGAGTACTACTTGGGAATTATCCATGCTTTCTGGTTTAAAAACATCCGGTTTATAGTTTAGAAGAGTAATTCATTTGGGTAGTTTGAGAGGAGCAGGAGCTGCCTGGACTCCCACATTAGGAAACGTCTGCTGGGGAGCAGTGAGGTTGAGGGGATGGTCACTGCACCTGGGTCAGAGGCTGTGTGCCGGGTCTCAGTGAAGACACCTGCCAGTATCTCCAGTATCAGGCCACGCTAACAGCACCTGACACCCCGTCCTCAAAACAGCACAGGCCAGGTTGGGGGGGGCCCTTTGGGTGTATTGTCCATTATCTGTCCTCTTCCCAGAAGAGGCTTGTCAGGACTCGCTGGGCCAGAGCAGTTGAAGCTGGCTGTACCTTCATGCTGCAGAGGCCTCTTGGTCCGCTTTAAAGGCAGCACTCACTGTTCAGGAAAAGTCCCTGTGGGGCTGTGTGGTGTCTAGTCCATAGCTTGGAGGGACCCAGCATTGTCGTGGCCCTAAGTTGGTGCATGGGCAGCAGGAGCGATCTGAAGAGTACCCACCAAAGCCTAGGTGACTGGGGCATGGGTTCCCCCGCAGAGCAGGCAGGCCACTATTGTTCTACCAAACCAGCCCCTTCTCGGCACCCCAGAGCAGACCTGTTCATGCTGCAGGCCCTTGGGCTCCACCCAGCGGTGGTGAGCACCCTCACTCACCAACCAAATACTGGGGTTCTCACTAGTTGGGAAAAGAGGCATGGCAGCGTCCACCCTGCCATGTCGGCTCACTGAGAGCTTTATGCCTTATAATCAGGTTTAGGCAGAAACCAGCTTAATCCAGCCAGGGCCGGTGGGGCAGCTTTTCCCACCTGTGGCGGAGCTTCAGCCCGGCCCCCAGAGGGTGCTCAGCTCTGAAGCTGCACCAGGACGGCAGGCATCCCTGGTGCAAACTGCTGGGTGGGCTCTGGCCAGGATGAACGACAGCTGGCAGTGTGCGGGCAGGCTGGCCCTGCCTTCAGTGACCTAAGTTAGGCCTGGGCAGCCCCCTGCTGGCCAGTTGGAGCACAGCCGTGTTGCCCAGAGGAGGACAAAGCGACAGCCACCTCTGTTGAGTGAGGTGGCCCTTGCTTTTCTGAAGTGGATATACCTGGCTAGTTACAGTGACTCCTTGTCCTCCTGCACACTTGGGTACAGGGCAGGAGTGGGTTCAGGGGGGACTGGTAGGTGACCCTCAGCTTGGGCTGTTTATCTCCTGGTGGGTATCCTAGTGTTGCCTCCCAGGATGGAGCCTGCCAATGGGGTGTGTGGTGGGACACCCACTTGAGACATTCGCTAGAGGGGCCCATTTCCCCAGCAGTGAGAGGTGATGAGGGACTTAGAGCAGCGGTGGGCCCCTCCCCCAGGAGGCTCTGAAAGCCAGACGTTGTGATCAGGTGCACTGGAAGCCCTGCTGGGGGTTCTCGCTTTCTGGGGCACCGCTGCTGAAACTGCCTGACTTGGTTGAAGTGAGCATATTTGTGTCCTGTGGGGGTGAGGGTACCTGCAGCCCCCCTGCAGATGTCATGCTACAGAGTGGTGTTTCCTGGGGCTTCAGGAAACATTAGGCCCACTGCTCAGGGTTGAAAGCTCACTGCTAACCCACAACTGCCACGTGGGGGTAAAAGGTGGCTGTTGCCTCACCTGGGCTAGGGGATGGGTGGGGGTCCCTGCAACAGCAATACCTCTGGGCACCCTCACCCAGCACTGCTACTTTGCTGAGCCTTATGTTTTCATACCTTCCCCTTCAACACCCCATCAGGCACCCGCACATCAAGTTTGGTACTGTGAACCTGTGATCTTTCAGGTGTGGGTGGGGCCTGCTCAGGTGTGCACCCTGCTCTGATGAACAGGCTCTGCACAGGTACAGACACTTGTCAGGGGTGGTAAAGAATGGTTTTTGTGTACTGCCCAGGTGTTCCTGGTTTGGGTGGTTCTGAGGGCGGGAGGGAGGTGGGGTCTGCATGGCAGCAAGGGTTGGGCAAGGCCTGGGAGTTGGCCCTCTGTGACTTGTTGCTGTTGAGTGATTCTGCTGAGGGCAGAGAAGTCCACCCACGCTGCCTGAGAAAGCCCAAGCGCGGTCATTCTGGGCCCCTGCCTGGCTGAGGAGGGAACTCAAAGCCTGGGCTGCTGGTCCTCATTTGTGTAGCCCTGTAAGTTCCACCCTCAGCCTCTTGGAGGCCAGCCCATGGTAGGAGGAGGGGTAATTGAATCCCTGTGAAGTGGCAGGGGTCCTGTCCGTGTGGGGCCCTCCCTGCTTACTGGTGGGGACCAACCCTTAGTGGCAGTCCCCTTGGGGACTGATGCAGGGCTAAGCCATGCTACCCTCCCTTTTACTAGCAGACCTTTGGAAAGGGCCTCAAGTTGGCCCTGGGCCATGCCGCCCTCAGGCCGGAAGCTCTTGCTTCTTCTGCCTGGTCACCCTCTGAGAGTGCAGCTACAGAGGGCCTTTGAACTGTTGCTGTGATCGCATGGCTCAGTTCCTACATCCGGTTTTCAACGGAGTTGGCTTTCCTCTTGTCTGCCAGTGTGTCACTGTATGCTGGTGATGTCATCTGTGCTCATTTCGTGTCCCCGCTAGCCCAGGACTCGGCCTGGGGGGCTACTTTGGGAGGACGGGTGTGGAGGAAGACTTGGTCCTTTGACCTTTTCAGGGCCGCACTTTGTAACAGGTTTACAGAAATGGTATGAATTTGCTGTCTTTAAACCGAGGGATTTGGTAACAGTTTTCCAGGTGAGATAGAAGTGTGGTTTCCACAAGAGAGAGAGAACTTTTCTTTGTGAAATGGTTTAGTTGTCACTGGCAGCCCTCCTTCCTTTCCCACCTGTCCAGAATGTCGTCATCACTGTAGAGCCCCTTTCCTCGGGGCACTCCCTCATGGGGCTAGCCCCGGGTCTGCTCTTGCTGGCTTAGTGGAGGGCCTGGGTGCTGGACGCTGAGACCCTCTGTCTGGTTCCCTTGCAGCTGTGAAGGATGAACAGAGGCCGAGGGAGAAGACAGCAGTTGCTGCGGTGACAGTCCCCAACAAGAAAGTGGCTCCGTCGGGCCCCACGCTCAGCAAGCAGCCTTCCGCCACGCCTGGAAAGTTTGTCCCAAAGAGGTCGCCTGCTTTTGCTCACATGTCGGCCGCCAAGCCATTGGTCAAGAAGTTGCCCTCAGCTTTCAAGGGGACCATACCGAAGAGGCCCTGGCTCTCGGCTGTGCCCACGGGTAGTGCCTCTGCTGCCAAGCCGCCAGGGCTGACAGTGTCTGGCCCTAAGAAGGTAGCCGGCCCTTCTGTGGCTGGCTCACTCCGGAAGCCTATGTTGGGATCTGCCCCAGCGGCCTCTCCTTCCCCAGCACGGCTGGCAGCTGAGGGTCCTGCCCCATCACAGCCCAACTCGCAGATCCGCCAGAACATAAGGCGCTCCCTCAAAGAGATCTTGTGGAAAAGGTGGGCCGTGGTCCCTGGCTCTGTGCAGCGGGTGCCCTTCTGCACGTGCAGCAGCTTACTGTCGGCATCTACTTCCTCCCACAGAGTCAGCGACAGCGACGACCTGACCATGACGGAAAATGAGGTGGGCCGTGTGGCCCTCCACATCGAGAAGGAGATGTTCAGACTCTTTCAGGTCACAGACAGCCGCTATAAGAGCAAGTACCGCAGCATCATGTTCAACCTCAAGGACCCAAAGAACCAGGTGTGTGAGCGTGGTGGCTCGGGCCATCTTGCCGCCCTGACGTGGCACCCAGTGGTGCGCGTGCTGCCTGGTCCAGCCAGGAATGGGGTGAGGAGAGGGTTGTGTGCCCGCCATACCAACCAGAAAGCACCCTCTCAGGCACCTTCTTCCCAGACGTGCACCTGGGGCCCGCCTGACGGGAAGCCTTTGTTTGCAGGGACTCTTCCATCGGGTTCTTCGGGAGGAAATCTCGCTGGCGAAGCTTGTGAGGATGAGACCAGAAGAGCTCGTTTCCAAGCAGCTGTCCTCGTGGCGAGAGAGGCCGGCGAAATCGGTGAGCGCCCGTGGCCAGACTGGCCCTGCCTCAGCAGGCTGGGTGCCGCGTGCCATGTCCACCGAGTGCGCCGACGCTCACAGTTGTGCTCTTCTCACGTCAGGGGGCAGAGGCCAGAGCCAAACTGCACGGCGAAAGCAAAAAGGCGGCCGTTCCACAGGAGCCCCTCCCTGATTTGGAAGACTCCCCGCCTGTTTCGGATTCAGACGTAAGCCTGCCCCCTTCACACATGATCATGTCGAGCTAGAGGACAGGCATGAGCTCGGCATGGCTGCCTGCTACTTCTGGGGGCTTCCAGAGTCCTGGGGAATTCCCACTGCCTTTCAGTCTTCTTGTCTAACACATTGTCCACAAACGTTTCGAAGCCCCTTATGTGTACTTGTAGCTCTGTCGTCTTTTCTGAGTCCTTGTGTCGACTGGTTCTTCACTGCAGGTGTGTGGTGTGGCAATTGTGTGTGTGTGTGTGTGTGTGTAGGAGGGGCGAGGTGATGGTAATCCATGGACTCCTCTCCTGTGGTTGCAGGAGCAGCCTGAGGCAGCCCGCGTGGCCCCCGAGAGGAGCAGTGCCCCCCTGCTGGATGCCTGCAGCAGCATGCTTAGAGACACCACCGCCCAGCACCGCGCACATCTGTTCGACCTCAATTGCAGAATCTGCACAGGTGAGCATGGTAGGGCGGGCAGCCTCGGAAGTGGGGCCGCTGGGATTTTGTTTCAAACCACCTCTAGGGAGCAGCTGTGTTGTGTTGAAAACATTCACCCCCACGTTGGCAGGCTTCCTTTTGATGCTCGGGGAAATGGCAGCACATTGATAGGTACGGTGTGTCGAGAGCTCAAGAGACCTTTCCCCATGTGCAGGTCAGGTTTCTTCCGATGGTGAGCCAGCGCTGAAAAAGCCCAAGCTGTCGGTGGCGGCAGCGAAGAGAGACGACAGCAGGTCCCAGTATGACGGCGGCCTACCAGGGCCTGCGCCTCCAGCTGATGAAGCAGCACCCAACAGTCCCCCTGAGGGCGCTGTGGACCCCGAGCCCAAGCGGGTGCCTCGGGCAGACGGTGACAGAAACCAGCCTCCAGGTTTCAGCCACCTGGAGCCGGCTCCCTTGCAGGACTTTGCCTCCTTCCCGGCCTCCTGTGGGGGCCCAGTGGTTACCACAGTCACGGTGTCTGGCAGAGACCCCAGGACTGTGCCAAGTTCGATACCAGCCTCCATGGCAGCCCGCCCCAGCAGCGGCCTGGTCCTGGACAATGCCCACTCAGAAAGCAAACCAGACATGCTGAAGCCAGCTCTGCCCTCTGTGGTGATGCCTAAGTCCATCCTGGCCAAGCCGTCGTCCTCCCCGGAACCAAGGTAGCCGGGCTAGCAGAGAAGACACCAAGGGAGGGCACACCGGGGTGCGGTCACCAGGATGCAGCTCTGCCCTTTCCTTGAAAGTTAGGCCACATGGGCTGCACGCAGGCGCTGGGCCTACACAGGGAGGTTGTGCCTTGCACCAGGTCGTCTGCTGTCTGCCTGTCCCGGTGTGATGGTGGGAGTCATCCATTAGGATTGTTGGCTGGGGGGGTGGGTGCGTGTCCAGAGCCACGGGCTGAACTCCCTGTCTGTCTCCCAGTATCTTAGAGTCGAGGTCACCCCCAGAAGGGGACACGGCGCTCTTCCTGTCTCGGCTGGGCACCATCTGGAAAGGATTCATCAACATGCAGAGTGTGGCGAAATTTGTCACGAAGGCCTATCCGGTGTCAGGCTGTTTTGATTACCTCAGTGAGGTGAGGCCCATGGTGACACTAAACTTGGTTGGGCACAGAGCACCCGGGTGTCTGGGCCCCTCAGCAGAACAGACTGCTGAGGGGCGGAAGAGACCTGGACAATCCCTCTCCCCATCCTCTGTCCCAAGGACCATGCAACAAGTCTTCGGCATGGTCGGGCGGGTCTCAGGGTGATCTTGGCCAGAGGTGGGTGGTGGGCGTGCTGTGGATTGTTGCTCATGAGAAGCAGAGGCATGCTGTCCGTCTGGCTGCTGGCGATGGTGGCTGTGGCGTCCTTGAGTCTCGGGCTCATTGGTGCCTTGGGATTGTTGGCTGTTGTTGGTTTTGGTCAGGGTGCACTTTGGCATTGATTAACTCCGCATGGGTCTTGTTTAGGACTTGCCCGACACGATTCACATCGGCGGAAGGATCCTGCCTAAGACTGTCTGGGATTACGTCGGCAAGCTCAAGTCTTCTGTGTCTAAGGTGCTCGCTCACCACGGGGACGCGGGGGCACCGCTTGTCTCAGCACACACAGTGGTCCTGGCGCCTGTGGCTGTGGTGCTCCTTTCCTGGGAGGGGTGGGGCAGTGACACTGAAACAGAAACGCAGAGGGGGAGCGGGGAGGGGGGCAGGTGGCCCTGGGGTCTAAGGCGGGACCCGCCTTTCTGGTGCACCCAAGGACACGTGCTCTTGTGTTCTGGAGGGGACCCTTGAAGAGAGCTCGCCTGGGGCCCAGGCAGGGCCGGTAGGCCTCGCGGAGACAGTGAGGCTGCTGCTGCTCTGCGGGTGGACAGGACGGCCTCCCCGGCCTCCGGAGAGTGGTATTCAGCTAGAGCTCTGCGGGTGCTTTCCTGGGCCCGCTGACAGGACAGCCAATGTGTCCCTCCCTGTGCTTGCCCCTAGGAGCTGTGTCTCATTCGCTTTCACCCTGCGACGGAGGAGGAAGAGGTGGCCTACATCTCCCTGTACTCGTATTTTAGCAGCCGCGGCCGTTTCGGGGTCGTGGCCAATAATAACAGGCACATCAAGGACCTCTACCTGATTCCACTGAGCTCGAAGGACCCTGTGCCGTCCAAGCTCTTGCCCTTTGAAGGGCCAGGTAAGGAAGCGCCAGCACTGAGCACGGATTGGCTGGGCCGCTGCCCTCAGCACAGGGCAGGCTGGCTGGCTGGGGACATGGGGGAAAAGCAGGGTCAGCGAGCCTCCCTCGGGGGCGGGGCAGGAGAGCTGCCCGTGCTAGCACCAGCTGGTGGGTGTTCACGCCAGCAGGGGAGGGGAGGTGCCCATCACACTAGTGTGGCTGAGTGGTCAGCACAGCACGCCCTGGGGCCTCCCGTGGCAGAACTAGAAGTCAAGACAAGCCCTGGCTGGCAGCTCAATGCTCACACTGACACCCATGCCCTCCTTGTGCTGCGGTTGGGGGCTGGGGGGGTGGGCAAGCGAGCCTTTACAGCAGCCACCTCAGGTCTGTGGGACGTGGTGGAGAGGTGAGTAGTGGGGCTAGTGTCAGCGTCAGTCACCCGAGTGGATGTCTCTGTGACCTTCGTTGGAGAATGTCACCTGCCACATCCAGGTGTCTCCTTGAGCCTGGGCTCTACAGAGGGTAATGTAGCTTAGAAGGTGGCGCTCCTGTCTCTAACGCATGTGAAATGCTCATGGAAGGGCTTTGTCCTGGGAGCAGGCGCTGGCATAGGCCCTGTGCCTCTGGTGTTTCCTCCAGGTGCCCGGCAGTCCCGGGCAGGTGCGCTCCCTCCTGGGGCCATGCTCGCTCCATGACAGAGCTAGCTCCCTTGCCCCTGGTGCTGTGGGCTGGCCATTCGCTCCAGTGAAACTGTGCCCACTGGTGCCGTGGAACTGACTGGGATGGTAGGTTCTTCAGTGCCACTTGGAAAGCAAAGTGCTTCAACGCGTCACCTCTAACACCAGCGGTCACCGAGGGCCCAGGGTGACTGCGCCATGAAGAGTGCTGGCCATTGGAAGGAAGCGCCAGACGCTGAGTAGCCTCTTCCAGGAGCCCCGTCAGCCCCAAGGTGACCTCTGTGCGCAGGTGCTGTCCAAGGGCGCTCCTCCCAGGGAAGAAAGCTACTTACAGGAGGCTGTAGGGCTAGCCAGGTGGCCTCTTGTCTGGACCGGCAGAGTCCACAGGGAGCAGGAGGGCGCCCTCTCACACCCTCAGCACTTTCTCAAGCAGGGCTGCCCACGCCTCCCTGCACTGCAGAGAGCAAGCCCCGCTTGTTACAAAACAGGACGGGTCAGAGGTGTGGTGGCCCCACGGCTCACCTGGAGGCCTCACAGTAACTTCTCACTCTCAGCATGGGGGACTCGGCAGGAGGCATTTAATTTTCCTTTCACATTCCTGATGCAGTAAGTGCACATAACACTTCACACACTTCGTTCTCGCTGGCCCTCACCAGGGCCACTGTCTGTGTGTGCCTGGCATGTGCATGTGTCTTACCTTACGTTCGTGTCATCAGGGTGTGTGTGTGTGTGTGTGTATGTGTATTTATGTCCCCCCATTCAGGTTAACGTCTGTGCAGAGCCCTTTAACTATGGGTGTGGGAGCAGCCTGGTCGTGAGGCCCCCCGCCCCCAGCAGTCAGCACAGGAGCCTCCCTGCTTTTGGGGGGGCTCCTGTAGCCCCACTCATGCCCGAACCTCGTGGAGGAGCGGCTGGTGCAGGGGTCCGGTGGCCGTGTGCAGGGTGCTAAGGAGACCAGCACCGGAGAGGCTGCCTCCACCTTGGGGACAGTCTCTCGGTGGCTGCAGGAGAGAACAGGCCACCTCTTCCCACCCTGTTCCTCAGGACGCAGTGGAGGCACGTCTGCCGTGCCTCCCTGTCCCTGCCTGCCCGGAGCCTTGTCCAAGGCAGGTCAGTGAGTGGGCAGCCAAGCCTGTGGGCTCTGGGAGCGGGACGGGAGCTGAGGGGCCCTCGCCGTTGTCGCTGAGCACACAGCCCCGGGCCTCCCATCTCTTGGGGACAGGGTCCCCAGTCAGGTCAAGGGCAGGAAGGGGCTTGGCCCCTGGTACGCCCCTGCTGGCCTGCTGGCTCCACAGGGGTGTCGCCGCCCCCATGAGACTGTCTGGTGTCCTCGGTCCGGCCGGCCAGTTCTTGGTGCGCCTGTGTGTATCTGTAGCCCCGCCCGGAGATGTTAGCGGGCAGCAGCCGCACTGCCCACACTGCACTGCTTGCGCCCCACAGAATCAATAAAGTGCTTTGTGGAAACTGGTCGTGTTTCTTCGCACATGAGAAGTTTGGTAGCTCCTGGGCACCTGTCAAAGGTCCACTGGCGGCGGGTGTCCAGCCAGCCCAGGAGTTGCCCCCAGTGCCCACCCCATGGCCCACCAGTCCCAAGGCCCCCTGCCCATCTCTGCCCTTGCTCCTTAACTCGCACACAGTCTCTCTCACAGCAGGTGTGCAGGTCCTGCCTGGTGCCCAGTCCCTCCACAGGCCTCGTTTAAGGCAGGATAATGGCACAGGCCAGGTAGACGGAGGGGGGGCGGGGAGCAGCACTCAATAGCTTTGGGGTAAAGAAGTCTAGTCGGCCCTTAGTGGACTGCAGAAAGCTAAGCCTCGTCGGGGGGCTGCGCAGGGAGTAGGGTGGCCCTCTTCCTGAGCACACGCAGGTCCTGGAGCTGGAGAGTTCTGGCCAGTTCACTGGTGCACGCTGCCTCCCTACACCCCTGATTCTCTCGCTTTGCCTGCGAGTCCAGCCCTGGCTGCCACATGAGGCTGCCCCTGTGCGTGCCCCGGCACATTCTGACACAAAGCTACTCGTTTGGGGTGGGGGGCGTGGCTGTCAGCACCCATGTGTAGAAGTAGGACGGCACATTCTAGCTGCTGCTCTCCAAGGTCCAGCCCCTGATGCTTTCTGTCCACTTGATTTAAATTCTGCACAACAGCCCTGAAGGAGGCAGGGCGGGCTGGGCAGGCGGCATTCTTTTACCGCTCAGTGATGAAGCAGGGGTCTGTGGGAGACAGAGGCCCTTCCCTGAGCCCGCTGACACCCTTTCCAGGTGAACCTGCAACTTAGCAGAGCTGGAGCCTTCTGCTTGGACGTGGGGCTCCCATCACCCAGAAGTCAGGCAGCTTGCCTCAGGGCTGCTGTGTAGGACCCCAGATGGAAGTGAGCTGCTCCCTTGAGCTCAGTCGGCTTCTAAACTGGTCAGATCAGTTTTCTTCTGTCCATGGTAGAAAGGGCTTCAAAAAGTTAGTAGAGAACCACCAGTCACATTCTCCTAATTCCAATTTTTGACACTCTGAAGCTCCTCGTGTAAGTCACTGACAAAGTGCTCGGGTGTGTCACTTGCCACTTAGATGCCTGGGTGAGGCACCACCCAGATGAGTGCCCCAAATTGCGGGCACAGGCTCACCCAGCTCGGTGCAGATGCAACCTCGAGATTGGGGCACCCAACCTTAGAGACATTGGAAACATGAGTCCTGGCCTCACAGTGACAGGCAGCACAGGCTGGCATCCCACTGGGCATGCCGGAGTGTAGGAAGGCAGGAATGATGGGCACACGCCTTGGAAACCAGGCCCGTCGAGCCAGGCTTTGCCCCAGCTTTGCCGCCACAGTGGTTGCCCGGCCTGGAACTTGACTCAGACAGGGCCCTCTCGGCCTGGTCGCCCTTGAGAAGCTCAGCTTTGCCCCCGTGAGGTGGGGGATGACTTGGGTAATGAGGGAGGGACTCCTTGGCTAAGGGCATCCAGCCTGGCGCAGCTCGCCTGCCACTGGACCACAGACCCTCACTGTGGACCTGCCCTTCTAAAGATTCCCTGGGCCCCAAGCTGGGGGCTCTGTGTACAAACCTGTTTTGCCAGTTTGAGAGCCCCTCGCCCAAACCACCTGCCTGGAGAGGCCAGCTGCACCGCTGGCTGACCAGACAAGCTAGGGGACACTGGAGCAGAGCTGGGCTTCGAGAGGAGTGTGCATCTTAAGTGGACTCAGCCTTCCTTCCTGGTGCTGAGGCTCGGGGGTGTGCTTTCTGCCTGACTGTTCACTTCCTACCCTGCCCAGCTCTCTGCCCCACCCACCCCTCCTCTGCAGGCCAGTCTGGCCACCATGGCTCTCAGCAGGGCCATGGTCAGATGCTGGGACTCAAGGCCAACTTTGGAATCTCCACTCTGATGCACCTGCCTGCCAGGTGACACCCTTAGGACACCAGCAGCAGGTGCCATCCAGGTGACCCCATGTGTCGGCCATCCCTGAGTGAGAAGCTAGATTACCCCGGCGCCGACGACTCCTGGGGGGGGTCAGGAAGGGCGGTGCAGGGTGGCTGTGCCCCGTAGGAAAACGTTTGTGCAGTGGTGGCATGCATGCCTTTAGCTCGCACGGTGTGTGCAGCTGGGGGTGTCTGCGCTGGATGCCCCAGCACACTGCTGTCGTGGCTCCCGGGGCTCAGCCACCGCTCACCACCACAGTGCTGTTCCTACTCCCCTCCTCTGCTCGGAATTAGGAGCGGGTGCCAGTGCAACACACCACCATCCCTTTGCACATGCGTGAGTCCATGGTGTGGTGATGTCACTCTTTAAATGTCTTTTCCCAGCTGCCCACTAGCAGGACTATGGACCCGGTGCCCTCCGCGCCACCCCCCCGACCCCCCACCCTGCAACCAGCGTGGCATTGGGTTTCCTGTACAGGAGATCAGATGTTTGCTCTTTGACTGTGGAGTCCGTGTGCGCGCGTGCTGGGTGCTGTGTAGCCATCTCTCCCCCTAGTCCGTGTGTGTGTGTGTGTG